AAATTCAGGTGGCATCCGAAACGAAAAAATATAATGGAAATATGATTTTTTTTTTAAATGTGTTATTGATGACAGATACAAACTTGTTGAGCGTGTGGACGCAATGCTGAGGTTGAAATATATTATGTGTTCCAAGAGTGTTATAAAAACGTCGGAGCATATCCACTAAGATATATTTAATCATGTCTATGATGCAACGGTTCAAAACTGAATGTAACAATTGGACAATTTTTCTGGTATATATATATATATATATATATATATATGAAGAAAAATGGATTTTGTTTGTTTTTCCCGTATATATTATTATATATTTGTATTTATATAAATACATATATATATATATATAGTATATATATATATATATATATATATATATATATATATATATATATATATATATATATATATATATATAAATATATATATTAGTATATATTTTAAAATCCTTATATACAATTTATACTGTTTTAATTTCCGACGTTGACATATTAACAATAAAACAGTATAAATTGGATATAAGGATTTTGGTTTTTTTTTCCGTATATATTTTTTCTTCATACTGTCGGATCTATATCCATATATTTGCATATATATATATATATATATATATATATATATATATATATATATATATATATATATATATATATATATAATATAATTAATATCAACGACGATAACTCAACCTTGAGTTTCATGCTGTTAAGGCAATCTTCAAGTTTGAACTCTGACTGTTATTTGCCGCGTTCTCGTGATGCTGATTCAAAATTGTATGTAAAAACTTTATCTATTTAAAATATAGAAGTAACTATTAATAATTTATGTCGTTCAGGTTCATGAGTTCGAAAGTCAAAGAATTGAAACAATAAATTAAAAAAAAAATGATTTAAATTTGAATTCGAAAGTAAGCAATATATCAAGGGGGGTAACTCTGTTTTTTATCATAAAATACCCGATTTATGCCTATTAACATAAACTGGAAAGCAGATTAGAAATATAATATAAATGTTGTAAAATAAATAAATAATAGCTCGGGTCTATATATCTAGTATACTTATAATCGAGTACAATAACATTGCATTGTATGTGTTTATAGTTATATGAGGAAATTATTGATAATGGGTTCTAAGATTATATACACACACAAATTATCTAAGATTATATGCACACACAAATTATCTAAGATTATATACACACACAAATTATCTAAGATTATATACACATAGAAATTAAATTAATTCATTGAGTCTACAAGAATCCTCAACAGAATGGAAAAAGCACTAGACGACCGTTTTGTCCTATATTCGGGACTATTTCAGTAGTGTGCATCCACCAGCGAGTATCGAATCCTTACGCCACGATAGGACGCAAGAGTCACAACTACTGGACGAACGTATATACGAATAACGAATCTCAAGTCTAATGTGTGTTTCGGGTTGTCTTTGTTCCACTGCCTGCTTTTCTGCATGACACCTGACACAAGCATCCCCATCGTTCTGTGCTGCGGGTAATAAATGTCGGATCTATTTGAAAGAAAAATATTATCTGGCAGTTCCATAAAAGATTTCCTGACACAAATTATATTTAATCCCGTTTTTAATTAGATTATTTCCGTTTTATTTTAAAACCTACTATTCCCCCACTCCAATTTTTCTTTTTCTTTGCATCTTCATTTCTTTCATTCTTAATTTTACTTTCTAATTTTATCCGATCCACGTTTTGACTTTAGTTTGCCCAGTTTTTTTTCTTTCTATCGTTCATTCTTTTTATATTTTCTATTCTTTTTTTTTTTACTTAAAATGTGTTTTCTTTCATTGGTTGGCTAATTAGTTTTTGTTTCCTAGTTATTTTCGGGTCGATTGGCACCAGGAATCATGGTGGGACAAAAAATCGGGAATTGTGTGAGAAAACTGCTTTGAGGCTGTATTTTGAATGAACATACAATAAATTTATTATTATCATTTGACGTTCTTTCCGACTCTTAACCGTTTTTTGGCCCGGCGATGATCGTCCTACCTTAGCTGCTACCTGCAAGACAACACTTCGTTCAGCCCATGAGCTTTTCCAAGTGGCGCTGCCAACTGAGCATTCCCAATGATGACAGGTACCCGCAAGGCGTCTTGCGAGACAGAAATTCTAGAAATAGTCCCAAGTACACAAACACCAGAAGGGTCAACTTAATCTACTACAGGAATATTTCTCTGATTTTCCCTGACTTGTCTTGGTAACATCATATTCACTCCCTATATTTGTATCCCAAGGTACAGCAACATTTTTCAGAATTCCATTTATAGCTAATATTGTGCATGAGCGTTATATCAATTATTATTATTATTATTATTATTATTATTATTATTATTATTTTTATTATTTTCTTTGATTTCTGGCGTTTACACATTTCTTTCCGAGTCCCGCCCAGGGACCTAAGGTTAGAAATGGCATCATGACATTTTCCACTGACAAAAAAAAATATATATATTATATAGATAAAGCCCTTCGTGGGCTATACTTGTCAGAAGAATTTTTTGTATCTCTTTGAGGCATGGACTTCCAGGAATCCCTTCAATTAGTCTACTGCAATCTTTTCCAACCAGTTATAGGGCTCCAACTACAACAGGGTTTGTTGATGTTCCCATATGCCACATTTTCGAGATTTCTATTTCAAGGTATTATTATTATTATTATTATTATTATTATTATTATCTAATATCCCCTTCCTGTTTTGGTCGGTTGACGATAATCGTATATCATCTCTTACCTTGCAGCTTACAGACACTCACTTCAATCATCACATGAGCTGTTCCAAGTGGGGCTACCACCTGGGCATTCCTAGTGATGACAGGTATCCCCAAGGCATCCTGCGAGGCAGAAAAATTCCTTGAAGTGCGCCACATACAGAAGGGTCAACTTGTTATGCTGCTTGGAATATTTCTCGTATTGGCCCTACAAGTTCATGGTATGCCTGTATTTTCGCTTGCTCTGCCTATATATTCCTATCGTAGCAGTCGTAGTGTTGTTAAATACTGTTTACAGTTTTCGTGCTGTCAGATTTAAGGCAACGGTTTTAGCGTGGCGGTTCCAGGTTTTAAAGTATTCAGCAACCAGATATAAAAATATTTGTTATTCTTTTTTCAACACATTTGAACTTTTCGAGCTGTTACTTTATTTTCTTTTACATATACTTGTGCGGTGTTACTTTTGCTCGGACTCGGCTTGCATTTCGGCCCGGCGACTGATTGATTTCATCCTGTTAAAGTTTTCCAAGATAATTCTATTAATAACTATTTTTACAATCTGAGGAAATATATATATATATATATATATAAATAAATTCATTGAGTCTGATATAAACCTCAACAGGAAAATAGAGGAAGCACTGGACGGCCGTTTCGTCCTATAATTGGGACTCATCAGCAGTGCGCATCCACAACCAGGTATCGAAACCCTGACAGTTGGGTTGTCAAGCAGACAACATACCAACTGGGCCTCGACACCGAAGAGATTCATATCAGACTCAACATAGCGCCGCTCACTCACATATTCCGTGGCGGAACTCTCCTGAGTTCGCTATATAACCATAAGACTGTGCCCGCGGGAGCCACGACTACTCTCACCAAGCCACGCCAACTGGAGCATTAGAAGCCGGATCAAGCAACGATAAACACATATAATAAGTAGGAGGATTTGATAAACATATAAATAAATTCATTGAGTCTGATATAAACCTCAACAGGAAAATAGAGGAAGCACTGGACGGCCGTTTCGTCCTATAATTGGGACTCATCAGCAGTGCGCATCCACAACCAGGTATCGAAACCCTGACAGTTGGGTTGTCAAGCAGACAACATACCAACTGTACCAACCGGGCCTCGACACCGAAGAGATTCATATCAGACTCAACATAGCGCCGCTCACTCACATATTCCGTGGCGGAACTCTCCTGAGTTCGCTATATAACCATAAGACTGTGCCCCCGGGAGCCACGACTACTCTCACCAAGCCGCGCCAACTGGAGCATTAGAAGCCGGATCAAGCAACGATAAACGATATAATAAGTAGGAGGATTTGATAAACATATAAATAAACCTGGTGGTGGATGCGCACTGCTGATGAGTCCCAATTATAGGACGAAACGGCCGTCCAGTGCTTCCTCTATTTTCCTGTTGAGGTTTATATCAGACTCAATGAATTTATTTATATGTTTATCAAATCCTCCTACTTATTATATATATATATATATATATATATATAT